GGCTAATATTCTGTTCAATAAAGTTAACTCTGAAAACAGTCTTATTTTTTTTAGTTAAACTGAACAAAGTGTTTTGACAATATATTACTCTGTACAACTATTTTTGTAAAACAGATTCTAAATTTTATATTTACTGAATGCCCATGTCTGAGTAGACATCCCTGTTTTTTTTTTTTTAAACAAAGTCTATCTGTGCATTTGAGAGTTTTAATAAGGAAAATGTGCTTTCCAGTAGGGTTCAAACCCGAGTCCTCTTTATAGGCATATGTCAGACAGAACATGCATAATTAAAAAGAGGATAAAAAGTGAAAAATATGAAATATCATAGTTTGATATTAAAGAAGTGAGAGGAAAAAGAAAAAAAGATAAGCTAACCAATTCACTCCTCAATTGAGGAAAGTAAAATTTTCTGCACAACTGACTAAAACGAAACGGAATAGAACATACACTGTGTCAATAATATACTGAGATGGGTATATAATGTTTTTTAAAGACAAATCACATTGAGTACTAGCAACTGTTCCTTCTGTTTACATAGGAAAGATTTTCTTGGTTTAATAAAAATAATTTCTATAAATTTTAGATGATAATTTGAATGTCACCAGAATGGAATTGTAAACATTGCCCTCTTGGTAGGATGATGCATACTCCTGATTTTGTATAAGGTGTCCTGTAATTGCAGATCTAGATGTTAGTTCATTTTTTTTTTTTCATCTTCACTCTCTTTTGAGAATTACTACTGTAATTGTTTTCCCTTTTTAATTATGCCCCTTCTGTTTACTCTCTTTTATATATATATATATATATATATGGTATAAAATGACAATTGGAAAAAAACGTTGGAAAAATTTAAGATTTTTTTCCAATTGTCATTTTATACCAATCTGTCTTGTCCACAAAATTGATCTGGGAATTTAACTGTATATATATATGTGTGTGTGTGTGTGTATTTGGGCAGCAATCCCTCTTTTATACAAGTTTCATTAAAAACAACTGACAAGGTTAAGGTTTTATTTAATTTTTGTGTCTTGTAATTTTCTTCTTTTCTGGACATAAATTATGTCAAAATTGTCTGAATGTTGTATATCTTTGAGAACTTTTGGCTATACTTTTAGCCATTAACAAGAATGATTTTATTTTTCTAAGATTATAAGAACATAAGAAAATTTAAATAAAAAATTCAATTGCAGTATCTTGTCAGTTGCTGTTAATCAAACTATGTGCATGTATGTGTGTGTGTATATATATATATATATATATATATATATATATATAATTTCTGCAAGTGCTCATGCAAAATATACAAAGTGCAAATAAATAATAAAAAATAGATATTTCTTTTCCATTTTGAAGAATTCAAATGATCTTGAAGTGTTTTTGGATTCTATACTTTTGAATATTATGGAATGGTCAGTGATTTTTCAAGAAAAGAAACAAAAATATTTCCAATGCACAGCAGACACTAACCTGCAGGCATGCACAATATTTATTTGAAGGGGGAGCAAACAGTAGGACATGAAAAGCAAATAGAATAAAGAAAGAAAATGTTACATCTAAATAAAATAAACAAGAAACTGCAGTGTATGAACCAAACTAGTTCTGAATAAGCAAGCAGACTTACTATCAATCCCTCCATCCAACTCCTGCAGTGAAAAGTGGCTTAAATAAACAACAGGCCTTACCAAGCTGTCAAATTGAAAATTTAATACAAGAAAATGGGTGGATAGTGAAGGAAATATTTAAATCATTTGTGCTATCAGAAAGTTTTAATTTTATGCTACTGTGCTTTAGAACAATCTAAAAATTTATAAAAAAAAAAAAAAAAAAAAAAAATGTAGTAAAATTGAATAAAATAAATAATTTAACCATGTCTGATTTTTAATTTTCATTTACTTAAATTCTCTGAACAATATAGACACTGTTGACTTGTAGGAATTTTTGACTGTTTCAGAAAACTTAAGTGATTAGCAACCTCTTGTATTCTAGAAAACAAACAATATTCACTGAAACGGTGAAAACTTCAAACTTTAGAAATACAGTGAATTGATTCAATTTTCTTATTTAACTGTAAGAAATTTAAATATGTGGAAAGTAAACTTTACATTATTTGGACTAGTGTCCTCATCTTTGTCACCATGTTTATCGCAACGTTTCGGCCATTGTACGCCCCGGCCTTCTTCAGGTGGTTGGAATGTTGAAGTGAATCCTTTATTTTGCTCACTGAGGTAGACTGTTCTAGTTTCACGTGCCATGTCTAATGGATGTCAGTTATCTCCTGTTAATTTTGCTCTGAAATATCACTGAGCCATGTGTCCTAAACGATACATGGCATGGTGGATAAAGGCATTAGTTAGATCCAGTGACAGGACCTAAAGAGTGTGTGTTCAATACCTGGTTAAGGCAGTGGAGAACTCTCAGAAATATACACAGACGTGGAAAGTACTAACAACAGATGACAAAATGTGATACCAAATTAAATTTCAGCATTAAATGACCCATGAAGAATTGATATGCTGTTAAAAAAAAACAAAAAAAAACAAACTGTCAGTACTGCATGACCTTATATTATTCAAATCTGTATATCTTACATTGTAAACTTGTAATAAATTTGAATGTACATATATAGTGACATATAAATGTACATAGATACTGAGAAAAATTCTATTCCCCCCCTTTCCACTGAAAGTGGGGGGAATTGTTTATTTTAGTTGCATAAATAAAAAGGTCTTCCTCTTTGTAATTCCTTCTATAAACCAGTTTGAAGAACTACAAAGGGCCTGTGTGGGACTTTTAAATATATGGGAAATCCTGCATGCTTCTCTTTTTAGTGTTAATGTCCTTTTCTCTGGAGATGTTTAATGGAACCATCACAGATTGTGAACTTCCCTAATCTGAAGGTGATGCCTTACAAAGACGTTATTCATAGCAGAAATAATAGCCGTTTCTCCTATAAAATGGCACCTTTACAAAAAAATTGTTGGGAGGCAATATGTTATACAGTGTAACCCGGATATAATAGAGTTGTCGGGACCGGAGAAGAAGTCTCTTATATTCGGGTTTGGTCTATTTAATATACATTAACACAGGCTCTAATTTGGGACCAGAGAAAATCTCTCTTATATCCGGGTTTCTCTTATATCCGGGTTACACTATACTTGCCAAGGAACTATCACAATTCAGAAACTGAAAAACATTTAAAACATCCTTCATTGAAAGAAATGTTTGAGAAGTATATTCATTAGAACTAGCACTGTATCAGCTAAAAGTGAGACTATAGATTAGTATTTATGTTTAGAATGAGGATATCTATACACTCTAATTACACACAAAGTTTCTAGTGAACAATTCTGCTTAGGATCAATATGGCATCTCTGGCTTTCTTTTTTTTTGAACAGTAAAATTAGTATCTACTGGCCTAGAGATAAGGTGTCCCAACAAAGAAAATGTTGCCCAATGAAAGGAATCAAACTGGAATTTCTATTTTAATCAGGGTAAAGACTTTCAACCCAAGCATGCTTTATTATTAAGCCACAAGAAGCTATTCCAGCAAAGCAAAGTTCAATTTAATAAATACATCTCTTTCTAGGAGGTTTCAAAGTTTACATTTACTATTTTCTACTCTGAAATTATTTCTTATTACTATAAGCATTATATTTTGCAGATACGTGTTTAAGTAGACAGAAATTATTCTCACTCTAATATATGAGAAAAAGAGAGAGATAGAGAAATAGCTATCAATTGCCTATCTACTCATTTTAATATCAGAAACAGGGAAAGTAACAAGGGGAGAAGATGTCTGAAAGAAAAAAGGTATAAAAGGTAAGAAAGCTAGTGACAAATGAAAAGAAAAGTGAATGAAAAAGTAAAAGATGGAAATGGAAGGCAGACATGCTGTCTTCAGTTTTATTCATTTACCCCCTTAAAAGTAGGTGAAGCTTTAATATCTTTTCTTCTTTTGCAGCATAGATACCATATTAATTAATTGTGGCACATTCATTTTAATGCTGTGCTTAACTCTTCTCATAAGACAATGATAAGAAGTTTATACGCAAATGAGTGCTTCATCTACATGCAGATGTGCTAAAACGTGACTACTTCAAGAAATATCTAATAACAGCTTTTGGATTGTGAAAAGTTAGCTAAAATCTCACTCTTTGGTTGGAAGTGTGCTTAAACAATGCCTTTACTAGTGGAGTTGAAATTAAAATGCAATAAAGCCACAAATAGGTTCATCAAAAATGAATATAAGTAAGCAAAGGAATTCATGAAACAGTTCATTTAAGTACAAAGCATTTATTGTTCCATAGACATCTCAATTTGTATTAAGCAATTCTTTTTGTCTAACACTTCAGACTTACAGCTCATTTTCTTAGCGATAAATCATGAGCAACAAACCTTAATAATTTATAAAAATACAAACATTAAACTATCTTTTATTGGGAGAATTAATACTATTAAAGGCTTAGAGAAAAGGTTTGTAGAGATGCCTTTGAGGAGCATCCTACAGGAAAAGTATCAAACTAAAATAAAACCGTTCCAATTTACTAAGGCTGTTAGTAATCAAAAACTCATAAATTGCTGTGACAAAATAGAATGTAGCTTTGCCAAGTGTGAAGCACAAGTTCTGTAATCCTGTTACCGAGAAAAGCAAGTCATAAAATTCTGCAGTTAAATGAATGACGCTGTATGTTCATAATATATTTACCTAATATATGTATATACATATACCTACATGTCAACTTTGGACAAAACACAACTATTTATAAGTATATACATTTAAGTGTATGTATGTATTAGATATTAACTAAACATAAACATGCAACAACAATTAGAGAAAAGACTAGACATGACCAAGTTGGATTTTTTAATCCCATGCAAGGTAATTAAGCCACTAAGATGCAAAGAGTTACTGAGAATGAAAGAAAATGAGAAATGTAATTGAGAAGAAAGAATAATAAAAGCACAGAATTCAAAAAGATACACAACTACACACCCAAGTTTACCGCACCTGGTATTTCTAAGTGGTCACCCATCTAGATACTGACCAGGCTAGATGTGGCTTAACTTCAGTGATTGTACAGGAACTGGTGTTTCAACAGTATGTGGCTGTAAGTCTAGTTCATAATTAATGTATCATCAATTTCACAAACAAATGCTTTAATTCACCAGGCTATTGTGAGGCACGGCGGGGTAATGGATAGTGGCTCAGATTGAGAAATCAGAGGGCTGAGTTCAAATTCCAGTCAGATCCATTACATTCACTTATGTGATAATACCCTTGGGAAAGGTATGAATCCTCTTCTCTCCAGGTATAGGTAAATAGCAGGACAGATTGGGTTCTATAGCCCTGGATGGCAACTGGCCTACTGCAGAAAGAAATGGCAACCTACTGCAGGAAAAAATCTGCCTCGTCAGTCATGTATTGAAAGATAAATGATCGTCTATGCATGTATCATGCATGGCACATAACTGACTGATTGTGAGGCTAAATACAAACAAAATGAGATATCCTTAGACATGGAATACAGAATGAGAACAATCTACCTGCCTAAAGGGTTCAGTTCAAACTACCCAGATCAACAAGCTCCTGAAAATGATTGGAGAGCACAATGGCCAAAATGATATGATAATAACAACAAATATGAGGACAATCATCCGGGTGTAAATAATATAAACAGAATAATGTTTGTTTGGTAGAGTAACTTGTGAATTTGATTCTCTGTGGTGGCCTTATTTACGAACCGAAGAGAGATTGCGACTATATCACATTGAAACACCAGTTCACATACTATCACCAAAGTTAAGCAACATCCAGCATAGTCAATAAAGATGGGTGACTGCTTACCCTGTAATCTTAGATGTGTGGGTGGCTTAACAGATAATGGCTCAGAATTGGAAATCAGAGAGCTGAGTTCCAATTTCATTTGTGTTTGTTATATTCACTTACACACAAATATCCTTGAGAAAGGTATGAATCTGCTGCTTCTCCACCCCAACTATGGGTTAATTAGTAGAATTTGTATTAGTAAATAATTATCTTTAAAAATTCTTACAATCTAAAAATATTTTTTGGCTTTAAAATAACCTACAAAAGGTTGATAAGCTGTAAAAAAATCAATCTAAGTGGATCAAAGTGATATAAAATAAATTTTATGCTATACATTGAAGGGAAATTTAATTGCTCTTGGCCAGGTCTGGCATTAAGCCAAATTTTTTAGATCAACTAAGAACTGAAATTTGAAAGAACACTTTACTAAGCAGTTCAGCACAAAAACAAGTGTGACAAATGCATGTAAAGAGGCCTTAGATTGCGTGTGGATATGTTTGTCAACACCAGTTACATCCGGATTTTTCCTGTTAGAAGCAGGGCAGTTTCGTATGTCTAGATACAGGCCTCTCTGCACCTGGTCAAGATCCAGGTCTTTGTAAGATGTCTTATGTTAGTAAAATCTGGAGGAAAACAGCAGTTGGCATTAGGAAAGATGCAGTGTCTTGTGAAGTTAGTCCCATGGGTATTTTGTTCCTCAAGTTGCTGTGGTTTCCAAGGCTGTGTTATTTTTGTTACCTCCTGTCTCTTTCTCCTCTCTGCCTATTAACCCCCTGTAGTTACTGGGATAGTAATTGGTTAGGTGTTCCCCCACCACAATCTCAACAGACTCTGCTTTCGTTACAACAAAATGTTCACCATATGTAGAGATAGAAACTAATAAACAAAAACAAGCATGAAGATGGTATATCTTTATTATTGATATTCACCTTAGTGACATTATGTCAAGTGCAGTTAAGTGAAATGCACTCAGTGAATCCAGGAATACCATAGCTACAACACTCGACTGTTGGCTGAGTATAAGGAAATAAGCACTTGAAAAATAGTGAATATAAAAAGTTATACACAGACACTAGTAAGATTAGCAAGGTTAAAATAGCATTTTGGGAATGATAGCTTTTTGGTATTACTTAACTTCCCAGTGGTCCATAATGGATGACATGGAAATGAAATATGAAAATGAGGTTAGAATTATTTCCATAAATTATTTAAAAATCAGAAACAAAGTAAAAAGTGAATAGAAAAAAAAAATTTGGACATTTATAGTCTCTGCTCATATTAAAGCACTCAGTGAACCAAATATCAGTGTTATATAGTTCTTTTAGTTAACATTTGTTAAATATATGGAGAAGGTTGTAATGAACCGTTCTTACCATGGGTTAGATATCATTGGTTTCCTGATTTACACTATTTACAACAAAACTGTTGTCTTTATCTTTGCTGTGTTCTATGGACTTCATCAGGTGTATGCCAATCCAGTAGATTTCATTTTTATTTAATGCCATGTTCCTTCAGGACATAGCTGACACTTGATTTGAAGGGGTTAAGACCATACTGATTGGGAGTCTGTTTTACAAAGGTGCAGTTCTTGGGAAGAAACTGTCCAAATGGAACATTCTTCTTACCAATGGAATACAAAGGGCATGAGGATGAATCAAACATATGTACATGGCATGGCAGGTTTTAGGTGTAAAGGTTTGAACTGATGGAACTTAGGAAAGTTTTCCTTGGAAATCACAATAGATTAACGAGAGGCTTATGACATTTTGTCTGAAGGAAATGAGTAAAATAATTTATTAGTACTGATGCTTACTTGGTAAATATTGTTTCCAAAACTAATATATATATATATATATATATATATATATATATATATATAATATATGAAAAGTGTGTGAGTGTGTGTATATATATATATATATATATATATATATATATATATATATATATATGCAGTTTATTATATATATTATTTACATATTATATATGCGCAGTACTTATTGTAAAGCACTCAATATCAGAGATAGAGCTAACATATTTAGTTGGATTGATGTGAGTTTGTGACTATATATATATATATATATATATAAAATGAAATAACGGGCACATTGAGGAGATTTCACATGATTTAAATCCAGGAACACAAAAGAGATTTGTGTTTAGATAAACATTCAAATTCTCTTGTATTACACTGCAACAACCTTGGACATATCTTTAATTTCACTAATGCTAGCCTTATCAAAAAAGAACAACCCTTTAAAGAGAAAATATTATGAAAATATATTTATAGCAATATTACCTACAATTAACATGTGTTTAAAAAAATTATATTATGTCACCATTCTTCTACAGATCTATTATTCATGAACCTATCTTATCTCTCCCAAATACAGAAAAATCAATATATATATATATATATATATATATATATATATATATATACACAAAATATGCAGAGAACATACTTTAATGAAAAGTTTTTCAAAGCATTCTGCAGCATCTTACTAACCTTTACACACTTTAGCATCCAGAATGTTTTCTTACACTTATTTGAATATTATCTGTTACTTCATTACATATCCAATCAAAACTTCTTACTGCATCTTACTTTTACATTTTGCCATGGAGAAATTTTGCCACACATATTTAAATATTATCTGTTACATCATTACACCTGATACATATCTAACCAATAAGAAATAGCCAGTCATAACATACCATTAATCTGTGTCTTTTTGCTTTTTATTATTTTTTTTTATTGATCTTGATCTCTGATGAAGCTTTAATAAAATGAAACATGTTAGATTAAGCTTCGTTTCCTACTTGTTTTTATCCTATCATATATAAACACTTTAAATATTATTTTAGTGAATATCTATATTTTAGTGTAGATGCTCCATTTATTTACTAAACAGTATGTTTATTTTCGTCTGCCAGCCTGAATATTTGAGAAATCTAATTAAAGAAAAATATGTGCAATCAAGCAGAATTTGAACCTGGCGTTTCTAGACCAACTCAGACTTCAATATCTTCTATGAGTATCAAATTTTCCAAGTCCGCTTTCCTCATTATATACCCTATAAATTTCAACTGCTACTTCCTGATGTTAAGTGTAAGTATCCTTTTTGTTTCCATTTTATCTAAAACTTCTTCATTGCTCACATGTTTTGGCCCACAGTATTCTCAGTATCTTTCTGTAGAAGGACATTTCTGTTGTTTTGAGTTTCTCCATCTGTGAGGGGACTGTCCAGCATTCACTGACATGGAGGAGGATTGATATTATAAAGTTCAGTACTTTTTCTTTGTTCCTAAAAAAATTTTTCTGTTTTTTTAATACTTTGCTTATCTTTTGGAAGACATCTTTTGCTATCCCAATGCATTTCTGGATTTCAGTCTTTCAATTTCTGTCCTTTGTTAAAACACCTAGATATTTGGATTGCACTTTTGCTAACAAACATGTATTCTGTCTTCTTGCAATTGAGGTTTAAGTCCTTTCTTCATTCATTTTCAGACTAAAATCTTTCAATTTCTAACACTTTTTCACAAAAAATCTAGAAGGAAGGAAGGAAAATGTATTTTTTTTTAATACCCAAAAAATGCTTATTTTACAATTTCAAGATAGACAATAAAAGAAAAAGTATTTCAACCCAGTTAGGTATTTTTTTTCTTTTATATGCAGCAGTCACAGAACAAAAAAAAAAAAAAAAAACCAAAGTGAAAAACTCTGATTAGATCTTCTATTTTTCAGCAACTCTCTCCTGCTCCAACTTCTGGAACCACCAAGAACTTAAAAAAGAAAAACTAAAAACATATTTCTTTCTAGCAAAAGAAAAACTGGTAACCATCTACCTCTTCAGAAAGTAAATCAATTGTTGACAGCAGCAAGGCTTGCAGTGTTTCCTCTGTCAACAATAGCCAAGAGAGACTGATTGATAATTCCCACCTATCCTTTCCCAACATAAGACAAAAATAAATAAAAAAATAAAAAGGGAGATTTCCCTCCTCCACTTGTATGGAGTATCAGGGTTCAGGTACCTGTTCCAAGGCAGCAGGACAGGGCAAACACTGGCTAAAAACCAATCAACCTGACTGACTTGTCAGTTACTCCAGGGTGGGGAAAATGGGGAATAAGGGCAGGTGGGGGTGAGTCTTCAGAGTTAAGGATACCAGAATCATAGCTGTCTGTCAACAAGACATTCACCTGAGCTAATTAACTTCTTCCACACCTGGCCAAAGGCCACTCATTCCCTGCCTTTCAATTTTTCCCCACT